AACATTTGTAAATGTTGCTTCCAGTTCACTTCTAATTAGTGACTCCAACAGGTAACCAGAAACTGCAACAGCATGGTAAGTGCTAAGCACACTACTATTACTACTACTTTGCTGTTACTCAGAATCAAGTAAAACGATCATCCAGCCATGATACAATGATATGAGTTATTAGGAATTTCACGTTCGTTAGTGAGTTTTAAGGTAACATCTGGTTTACAGATGTTACACAGGTGGAGGGCTATATCTAGTGCAGGAAGGGTGGCGGCAGCATCATTCCGGCATTGGCACTTGTCTGCCTCGGTTTGCAGTCGGGCTAACTCGAAAGGATTGACACCTTCTCGTGTGGCCTTCTTCCAAGTGTTATGATGTGGAGTAATCATCTTCCAGGTGAGGGGGTCGACATGGCACTTTTTCAGGTTTGTCTTAAGACTATCCTTATACCTTTTCAGTTGACCGCCAGCATTATGTTTATTATTCGTTAGGTGACTGTAAAGTAGCTGCTTTGGCAGTCTACTGTCGCCCATGCAGGTAACATGGCCAGTCCAACTTAGTTGTTCATGGATAATGGTTACTAGAATGTTCCTCCAGTTAGTGTCAACAAGAAACAGGCACTTGTTCTCCTGTCTACCCAGCGAACTCGGAGGATGGAACGTAGATTACGTTGGTGAAAATTTTTGAAGTGCATTGAGGTGCCTCCTGTATTTAACCCATGTCTCGCTGCCGTAGAGCAGGGTGGGGCTGCCAAAGGCTCAAGATGCACATCTGATCCGATGTTGAGTCTCTTCATAGATGTCCACAGTGGTGGACAGGTGGGAGCCGAGATACTGAAAGCGGGTAACGTTGGAGTGGGTAGCACCCTTAGGCTAGATGAATGGTGGAGATGTAGTTGAACACGTGGCAGGCTGAAAGAGAAGCTGAGTCTTACATACATTTACCTCAAAGCCGAAGTGTGCATACACATCTGCGTAGGTATTCGGATCTCCTGTAGGTAGCGTTCAGTGTAAGCGACAAGAGTGAGGTCGTCTGCATACTGAAGTTTAGTAATTGAAGATGCCGACACCTTTGTTCCTGCCTGGAATCGTCTGATGTTGAAAAGACCCTTCTTCCAGTACTGGATGTCAACCCTTCCGGCTAAATTGGCACTGGCACAAGTAAGAAAGGCAGCCAAAAAATGGAAAAGAGAGTTGGTGCTAGTACACATCTTTGTTTTACCCCCATTTGAATGGGGAAGAGCTCAGACAGGGTGCAATTGTGTAGGACACTGTCGTTCATGGCATCATGGAGTTGCCTCACGATGGCAATGAGTTTTGGTGGGCAGCCAAAATGGCTGAGGGTTCGCCAGAGGGATTTCCTGTTAACCAAGTCAAAGGCCTTGGTTAGGTCAATGAAAGCCATGTACAGGTCTCAACACTGTTCTCTGCACTTTTCCTGTATCTAACGGGCAACAAAGATCAAGTCATTGGTGTCACATGATGGTCTTATGCCACATGGAGATTCTGGGAGGAAGTTTTCTGCCTCGGTAAGAAATCTGTTTAGGAGGACTCGGGCAATAATCTTACCAGCTACAGACAACAGCGAGATTCCGAGGTATTTGCCAGACTGACCGGTTTCCCTTGTTCTTATAAATATTTACAATGGAAGCGTCTTCAAGAGCTTTGGGCAATTCCTCCTTTGCACGTATATTCTCCAGCAGAGAGTAGAGATGGCAGGTGAGTAAAGGTCCTCCTTTATACATATCAGCTGGGATTCCATCAGGCCCTGAGGTTTTGCTATTTTTCATCTGTTTGATGGCAGTAACTACCTCATTCAGGGATGGAGGATAGGTGAGGTGGGTAAACTCTGGATGCTGAGGGACCTGCTACAGGACATCCACATCAGTGTTTCAGTTGAGTGGCGATTGGTAGTGCTCTTTTCAGTTCTGAAGGATGCCTTCTTCGTCTTTAATTAGGTAGTTACCATCAGGTGAGTGGAGGAGGCTGCACTATGAGTGAGAGGCACATAAATGTGGAATTGAAAAATTTGCAAATCTTGTATTGATCTGAAAGTTTTTGCATTTCAAATGCTTTATTTTTAAATCAGTCATTCTTTAGATTACGAAGTTCACGGTGGGCCGCTGCTTTCTTCTTGTGAAAGGTAACAGCTTTAGTCAGAGACTGAGGGTTGTTCTGCCAGTCTGTTATCATCAACGAGTACATTGATTTCTGGGTTATTTTCATCAGACTAGTCCTGAAGTATTCTTTTGATCTGGCCGAGGGTCTCTCTGGAGGTTTTTGTCATCAAGGTGTCGAAAATACCCCATTCGGCACTGGAATTTGGGTTGTCTGTTGTCGGGTTATTTATCAACCCGTTTGAGCTGCTCTCTGAAGGCATGTGCTACCGCTAGATCTTCCAAAAGTTAAGTTAAAACCTCTTCTGGCCACTTTGGGCCGATGATCAGTCGCAGTGGTCTGAGCCACACATGACTCGGGTGATGATGACATCTCGGCGATCTCTCTCTCTGACAATAATGTAGTCAATGAAATGCCAGAGTTTGGATCGTGGATGTTGCCACGAACCCTTCAATTTGTCGGCTTGGTGATAGTGAGGTTGTGTGCAGAACATTTTCCGAGGAGGAGTAGGCATTTGAGGTTACACTTGCCTAATCCATTTCTTTCTATGATTCCCTGCCAAATACCAGCATCTCTCAAGGTCGGCATTAAAGGCCTCCTTGATGTCATCCTCTGCATCCAGTGTTGGGGCATATGCACTGATGAAAAAGGTATGATGTGAGTGATTCAGTGGGACTTGGAGCATCACAAGGCTCTCGTTGATCCCAAGAGGCATTTTAGTTAACCTATGTAGGATATAGGATGCGGTTTCTCTCCGCAGCAGACTTACCCTTCCAAAAGAAGGTAAAGCAAGACCTATGTTCTGAGAGTCCACCCTCGTCTGGCTGTTATTATACCTAGCCAGATCTTTTGCCACAAAGGCAGTTCTTTTTTCAGGACACTTATTTGTGCCAGTATCCAGAAGGGTCTTGACATTCCGTGCAGCGACCATAAGAGGTTGCATAGTTTTTTTTTTATCTGTAATTATGATTGTGTTTTCGACCGCATAAGGTTGACCTTACTGGGTGCGGTTGCCCAGTCAAGTCGGTTCTTTAGGCAGGCTATGTTTAGGGCACCTATTCTAGACCATGTGTGGTGAGCAGAATGGGTCCTCAAGTTGGCTGCTCAGTCGCAAAGACAGGACCGGATTGCACCGTTGTCTAGATCCCAGTGCATTAACGTCCATCTTATCTATGTCACCCATGTGCAGAGTTACGACTAGAAACTCCCGGCAATCATCTCTGCCCGTTCCCGTCGCCACTCATCCATCGCCATAGGACTTTTGGGGATATAGGTGTTTGATGATGGTGATGAGAAGTATGTTGAGCTGGATGATGACTGTGCGTGAGTTGATTTATGTGGTGAGGCAGGAGCGCAGGCTGCGACCACAAATCTTGGCTCCCCCTTTTCCTGATCCTGTGGTGCAAGTGTTGCAACGACTGGGGAGAGGGAGAGTTGCAATGGCCTGCCGATAGCCCAGTTTCTTGAGTTTGGCCTAAGTAGCCAGTCCATTATGCATTGCCTTCCTCTGCCGGTGTGGTCGTTGGGTTCCCATGTTGGTCACCTCTTCTGCTTACGCCGCTCTTGGGTTCTTGTTGAAGCTCTGTAAGCATGTCTGTCTGATGCGGAGCTACACCACAGATCTTTCGTTCGGGATTTACACCCGTAGCCTTCTACCTACTTAGGTTAATCCGTAAAGCAGCGGGGCAGTGGTTGGTAGGCGCCAGGACGTGTCCACATGCCAGGGGGTCTATGCGCCGTCCTCTTGGGCCTATTGCTGCTCCGAGATCCCCTACTGGTCTAGCCTGGGCACCCAGTTACCGTGTGTTGCCACGAGGAGGCATAGCAGGAGTCTTGACGGTGAAGTGGCTGTGTGCTGGCAGGCGAACACTTGTGCAAGTTGCTTCCCTATTCACTGCGAGGGCTAACCAGCGGCGGCAGCTGAAAGCAAGAGGGAGCGAGCAGTGCTTGCACCTTAATACTAACATAATGCTGCCACACTAGACGGATCACACCACCATGTGTGCTCCACACACACACACACACACACACACACACACACACACACACACACACACACACACACACACACACACACATACATCAGTGTATTCACTCCCAGTAAACACTGCTCCTTACACTGTCACTATGTTGAAATGAACTGTAGTTTGAGCTGATCCCCATCTAAGTTATTATATGTCTTATTTGTGTCAATTATGTTACTTGTATATTATTTGTAATTCGTGACCCATTCCCCAAATATGTAACTGTATATTTTCAGCCTTCTGGCTGCCAAGCTCTTTCAATAAACCGTTAATTATTATTATTATTATTATTATTACACTTTCTCCTTAGTGGTAACCTGACAAGTGTCCCCAAACTCGTTGCTCTCATTGATCACCTGTCAGGTTTACCACAAGCATTTTCTTCACACTGCTGTTGGATTTATTTGCACTAAGCGAAATATATCCTTTCTGGTATCACAGTAAGTGTACCACACACACTGTCCTTACAGGTGAAGGCATAAGCATGGCGTACACAATAAGTTTACGCTGGTGGCGACATAAGTAAAACGCACTCATTATACCCATGCTGGTGGCGGCATCAGTACAATGCACTCATGTTCACACTGGTGGCGGCATACGTTTAACGCACACTGATAAAAGTATAAGTACAAAGCATTCAATATGATCACACTGGCACAGGTAAACATGTTTCATTTTAGTACTCTGAGTGTTACAAATTAATTCCCGAGTGAATGGTAAGAAAAGGTATGTACTGCAGTCGCGTTATGAGATATTCGTTATCAATATCAACCCAGCAACCCTATATTAACCTTCTAGCCTTGGTTACAGGGTTTAAAAATAAACATCATATGAATAACAGGGACGTGGCACATCTGAGACAACATACCTGTAGAGTCTTCGAGCGGAGGTACCAACCTGGGTAGTAAGAGCACACTACTACTGATTACATATTACAAGGTGTTGTTATGAAACATTTTATCTTATCATTCAAGTGCCCCAGGGTATATACGTTATGGTGATAGGAGTTATGACATCACATGACAAGGGTTACCTTCACTGACACTTGTTTCATCAAAAGATAAAACACGTAAACGTTCACAGTCATCCATAGACTCACATTTATGTTACAACAGTTGCAGAACTGCATGCAACGTCCCTGGTTCCACAATTGAGCTTAGAAATCCAATATACAGTGTACTGACAAACGCTTTACTGATATCTTCTTCAGACCTGTATATTACAGGGATGCCACTCAAGTAAAAATTCACTCTAGATGAGGACAAAATAGCTACTAAGAATATCTTGAGTAATAGCAATAGTTTTAATAAAAGCATTTTTTCTATCTGCTCATGTTAATAAGTTCTCTCCTCCCATTCTCTCTCATTTTTGTTTTTTAATGAGAAGAGCATCTCTGTCCTTCCTTACATCATCCAGTTGACGTTGTAGATCTTCAGTGACCAGAACTGGTCTTTCATCCTCAGGTTCTTTCTCTGGCAGGACACCAGGGCCGGTATACAAAAAAAAAATTAAGTGCTAACAAACAGCTGTTAAGGTTGACAATTGTCCTGTTATGCACTAATAGTACATACACAAAACTCTAAAGGGCCTTAATAGTTCTGTTAAGTTAAAAGACCCCTCGAGCACTTTTAAGTCCCGTAATAGTCGACTGTTAGTTGATACCATAACGAACCAACAACAACATCAGCGGCGGCAACGCATTTATCGGGAAAGGAGAGATATATTTAATGAATACAGTGATTCTGAACTCATCATGCGATACCGACTGGACCGTGCAGGTAGGGTGTGTCATACGGAGGCGAATTTTCTTTTTTTGAGTTTGAAAAATCGGCCCATGGTATTAATGATGTAGTTCTATGTGCAGAATCATGTGATATCTTCAGATTTGAAAAGTTTTCATTTTTTGCTAGGTAAATTTTAACTTGAAATCTTATGAAAATTCAGTATTCCCACCCTTTTACCAACACCACTAAATAGCTTATTTAAAGTAAAGTAAATGTATCAGGTAATTTATTAGGATGAAAATGATCCAGAATAGTGAAACGAATGATCTTGACACATTTATTAAATTTAATATTCCTTTAGAAAACAAAATCATCAAATACAAAAACCGGTTTTACTACTACGACCCGGTGTTGCTGCACACCATAGAGAACATGTCTTTCTTGCTTCTGTTTCTACTCATCACCTCCCTGCTGACCACCTGAGCTCGGATGTAGCCTTCCCTCCTCTCCTGGCTGTACACGTGACTGCTGGCCTCGCTCACTTGCTGTACACAACGCTCTATACTCTGGGTGTGCGAGGGCCAGGCAGGGACATGCATGGGGTTGTCCAGGAAAGCTCTGACTTGAACATTGGTGAGGCTGCAGGTAAGAGGGGGCTCACTGCCAGCCTGGATGTTATCCAGATCTATGAGATCAGTGAGGGTCTTGGCACCTAGATTGACTTCAGGAGTCTTCCTAACCCTGAAGGAATCGTCACCAACTGATTCGTCATGCCCAGATCCTCTCATAAGTCTCAAATCCAAGATCTTTTTGACTGCCACTGTTCTCTCCTCCTCATCCTTACTGCAGAGCATTGTCTGCAGAACTGCCTCGGGATGAGCATACCAGGAAGATCTCCTCACAGTCTGCTCCACAATCTGAACAACCTTCCTTGGCTGACTCCTCAGGAGCTCAAGCTGGAAGAGAACATGCCTCGGACCTTCGGAGAACGATGACTTGACCTTGGTGTTGAACCAATTTGGCAAGTAGACACTCACGATGAATTGGACAATAAGTCTCAGGTTGTGAAGCTGGTTCCCTTTCAGTTTATGATGACCGACCCAAATTCTGCAGAACCTGAGAGCCGCTGTGAGCCACCTAGAATGTGAGACTGGACCTATCTGCAGGTAAGCAAGTCTATCAGACATGACCCCAGTTTTGATGGCACTGCAAATCATATAACCATAGTACTGGTCAGTACTCAGGTCGTCAATGACAGTATGTGCAAGCTCAACGAGTGGAGGGCCAACTGTGATTTTTTTCAAAGCTCGGATTTATTTCTAACTCAGTGGCAGAGTCCAGCATCTTGCCAAGAGGACCAGACAATCTGTTGTTTGAAAGAGTCTTGCCATCCAGCTCCTGGATCAGATGTCTGAGTGGCAACTCGTTGGTGTGGAGGTCACAAACAATCCAGACCAGCTTCCTCCCAATCTTCCGCTCTATCCACTGTATGACCCCCCCTTGCCACCCTGTGTTCGTGTTGGTGCTGTCCCCTCCAATGGCCTGCAGGGTCTGGTCTACGTTCCTCTCTCTGAGCCAGTTCACAATGTTATCTGCCACTATCTCAGCTGGTTTCCTGATGTCATCTTTCTCTGGAGTGAAATGCCACAAATACTTCCCTCCTGGTTCACTGCAGCAGGAGTAGTGTTCCTCCTTCACCATGGCAGGGAACAACTTGTCAGAATCTCCAACTTTCATGAACACTTTAGTGTCATCCCTTCTCCCATCAAAGAACAAACAATTGATTCCATTTTCTCTTATCCCCTTATCAAACTCCTCTTCTAGGTTACTGACAAGTTTCTCCTGAGCTCTCCTTACTTTGTTATGATCTATCACCAGGTGAACATCATCAGGTGTTATCAAACCACCGTCAATCCAGGCAGCTGTTGCTATCTCTGCAGTTTCTCTGAGACCAGTGTGGTGTCGCATGCTGGCCAGAGCTATGCTCGGATATCTTTCCTATTTCGAATCTTATGCCTGGAAGGTTTGGGATCATTATTTTCTGGTTAGGGACAAAGTCACCATTCTCCTGGTCAGCACTCGGATCAGCCATGGGGAAGTCATTAAACTCTGAATCAGCTTGACTCCAATCATCGGCCTTTTTTACCTCACCCTGGGCCTTCTCAAGTCTCTTTTCCTCGGCAACTCTTCTCCTCTTCTGTCTCTCTGTGGCAGCCTCCTGTCTCTTGGACTCCGGAATATCTTGGCTAGAAATCATGAGAGCCCCTATACTGCCAGTCTTCTCTCTCTGTGCTTTGACAAATGCCAGTTCGATCACAGGAATCTTCAGTTCACGCTTGCAAATACAGGAGAGATGTGGGCCTCGGATTTACAGTCACGATCGCATCCAAACTCAGGACAGAGAACAATTGGGCACTTGCAAGTAATTATGTTAAATAACTGGTCCAGTTGCTTGGCAAAGCTGTCCTTAACTGCAAGTTTTCCTCTCCCAAGAGAGATATCTCTTGCCTTTTCCCAACTGGCTAGCAGTCTCTCACTAATCTTCTTCTGACTTGTTATGACTGGAGGCTTGAACTGAGCGTTAGCCAGAGTGTACTGTGCCAAGACAGCTTTGGTCATATCACTGGCAATGTCTTTGTTTGTGTAAGTTCTTTGGTTCTTTTCACTGATTTGCCTGATTAAAACACCGTATCTCAAAGCATCTCTCAATGTAGGCATCTCCGACTTCAGGAGCTCTCTCCCAGACCCAAGATAGTGACTGAGATGGCTGGATTTTTGGTTCCTCGTCCTGACACAAGCAGCCATCGCAAATATTATCAACTTATAAATGCATCAGAATCTGAAACAGAAAAAATATTGTTAGTTGGGTTGTTAAAGAATGAAGTCAGAAAGCAATGTTCACTACTTAATTGTAATGCACTAATGCAGCTGTACGTTAGATTTTCGATAAATTTCACGCTAAAATTTACCTAGCAAAAGGTTGCAAAATATTGAAACTGAAATTATTTTCTGTTTATATACACTAAAATCTACCAAAAAAGTGATGGGCCATTAGTTTTAGCTGATCTTCCCTCCTATGACACACCCTACAGTGCAGGTATCATGGTAGTGACTGATTTAGTGAGGGAAACACTACAAAGTAGAACTGGGAGGAATAGGGCTCTAACCCCAGAGATGAAAGTGGCCATAACCTTGCGTTATTTAGCGACTGGAAGAATGCAACTGTGTCGCAGTGATGATTTTGGAACCACTCAGCCTACTATCAGCCGTGCTACAACTCAGACACTGAATACGCTAACTGAACCAAACATTTTTTGTCAGTTTGTGAAGTTCCCACTCACCCAGAGAGATAAAAGAAAGCAAGCTGAATTCATTGAAATTGTTGAGTTTCCCGGTGTTGTGGGTGCGATTGGTGGTACACATTGAAATTGTGACTCCTAGTGTAAATGAACATTTATATATTATATTGGTATTATTGCATAAGCTGCCACAATTTTAGTGGCATTTCTCTCGCAAATGCCTCTATTGGGGTTAGTGGTTCTCTCATGACATATTTACCAATACAGTATAAGAATGCCACAGAACTGATTTCACAGAAATACCATTGGCCAAGTACAAAAGATAAATAAATATACCGCACCTGATTGTGCATCCTCCCTCTTTATAGCAAAGATCTTCTTTCTTGACTTGGACAATACTGAGAACCAGCGTGTCTCACACTCTGCCACTGAGCTTGCCACACCAGGAAACGCAACATTGACTCTCAAGGTGATTTCCAGCCATGCCCTCTTTTTGTCTTTATTACTTTATTCAGGAAAGGCTTGAAGCGGCCATTCATTATTAACTTTTTTTCTTCAGTGACCTCCATCAATATTAAAGTCTGGTCTGCTGTCCAGTTGGGCTTTTTTTTCTTTCATGAGGTTGAGGCTTCCATTTCCGTGATGTTCTTCTTGTTCGCTCCTCAATAACACGAGTGTGAGGGATTGTTTACAAACAGCACGGCAAGGCCAAGCCACCGATCACTATCCTTGGTTAATATATCCTCCTTGAAACTGCATAGATTAGATTTTTTATTTTAATGATCAAAATGTAAATAAATGTAGATAAATATTTAAATTCATCTTCATAATTTTATTGAGGTTATTCAGCCTTAATACCATTTTATATGATGAACTCCTGCT